TATACACCTGTAATCCTAGCACTCGAGGCTGAGGCAGAAGGATCATCGAAATTTCAAGGCCATAGTGAGGGCTACATAGTGAGTTCAAGACTAGGCTACATAGTGAGTCCAGGCTGGCCTTGAGCATTGAAAGACCCTGTCTCAAAAAGCAAAAACAAAACAAAACAAGACAAACCCCAAAGTGGCAAAAACCTATATGCTTGGGTACCTAATTTTCATGGTGAGACTCAAACTTGTGCTCTGAACTGAATTCTCTTGATTTCAGATCTGTATTGGATTCCCATCAGATTGCTTATAGCTGTAGAGATATGATTACTGATAAGAAGAAACATTTACCAAGATGTACCTAACTTCATGTTTTGCAAATAGTACTTTTTAGCTTCAAAACTGCAAGCTTGTAAGAGACGTATGGTTATAATCTGAGGAGAAGGAAGAGCTGTATGTAACGAAACTTAAATGGCAAAAATGAGGAAGTGAGGTTGAGTGGTTTGCGTCTTGGGACAAGCTAGAGCAATGCCAGGATTTGGCTGACTCCTTGTGTTTATTTATTCTAGGAGTTAGTATCTCTCACGCTAAAAGTTTATAGGATTCAGCCTTTTCACATAGAGCTACCAATTGAATTCTCTTAAACTTTCACTTTCTCATCTATGGAGGGTAGGGAGCTGAGCTCTCTGACTTCAATGGTCCCTTTCTGTTGTGCTTATTCAAGGATGCTGATGGTTGGCCTAGAACCCCCTTAAAACTTTTCTGCCAGGAACTCTCCTTAGCTAGGGTCTTCATAGCCCCCCAAAACTTCAAGCTGCTGTGGTTCCAAAATGGCCTAAGAAAAGCTTCAAACCATTAACTTCTTAAGAATTTCAAAGAAGGGGAGAGCAGTCAATTCATCTGTTTATAATTCTAAACATTATATGTACTTCGATAAAACTACTGTATTCATTGGATTTAGCTCTTTGAAATATTAAGAGTGGGAGGAACTAGATGGCAACCATCAGTGTGACAGAATGGTTAAAAATGAGAAACCACCAATAATAGTAAAGCTGTAGGTTTTGAAATGAAATGCTGTACAAGGTCTCCTATTAAGTAGTACAAATAAAGTGGATTTTAAAGAAAGCATGGAATTCCTTTATGATGGATATGTACATACATTTGTATTTGCAGAGAAAAGTGTAGATCACACAAGCAACCTTAATGGCAATTTCTTTGGACCAATGGGGGCCTTTAGTGAGGAGAAGAAGACTTCTTCTCTCATGTTCTGTTTTTTTTTTTACTCCTCCCTCAAGTATTTTTATTAAAATGCTTTTGAAAAACAAAATCCCCAAGGAAATAAAAAAAAAAACCTCATCATAACAATGTGGAAGAAAATTGAGAAAAAATTAAAAATTCACCAAGGGTTTATGGATATCCACAGCATGCTAGATACATTTCTCAGGGGCAGGACAGTGACACCTTTCACCCCCCATCCCCTGCACCGTCTCTTTCAAGATCACAGAGCAGGCAAACAATCCAAGTGGCCTGAGTTTAAAGAGAGAAGAAAAGAAGCCTGTATTTCTGGGGCAAGTCATCTCAGGGAAGCCGTGGAAGGCAGGAGCGTTACCCTGCAGCTGGGTGTGCTGGATAGAACTAGAGATGACGGTTGCCTGGCGGCCGGAGAGAGGGGAAGTAGCTGTTGGAAATGTTCCATTTGGAACCCACTGACCTCTAGCTACAGAAGGCAGGACACTGACACAGTGAGTTGTTTGGTAACTAGATTTGGGTTACGTACAACTGTCCCTCCAGGGGCTAACCAAGCACTGTGAATAAGGGAAGTTGCTTCAGTGCTATTTGTTTATAGGCTGAGCTTCCACTAGGAATTCCCCTAACAGATTTCTGAATAACAATTCCCTCTTTGTGTATTTTAAAATATCTCTAATCATGATCTAATCTCTATAAAGTATAAATACCATAGATATCAAAGGTCCATTGTATAACAACAAAAAGTATAAGTATATACCCCACTTTTTAAAAAAATAATTTTTAGTTAATCATTTACTCTCTACTTGAGTAAATTTTTCAGTTCAAATAATAAAATGATATAAAGTAGTCTTATGTAAATCAGGAAGTCAGCAGCTGTTATATATTTCAACAATCATCAAAGACTCCAAGATACTAAACCTTATGTGATCTTCAACAGTATCTTCTTCTCTATAGCCACAGATTGGTAAGTTTTTCTTGGCAAAGGATAAGTTAATATGTGTTTTTAGTGAAATATTTTAGTATTACATAACTTCTAGTAAATATTTTACCCTTTATGATGTTGGTCATTGGTACAAAAGCAGTTATAGATAATACAGAAACAAGTGCACAAACAACAAAACTATTTGTGGGTACTTCAGTTTGAGTTCAACTTCTAGGTGCCATAGAGGAGTGATTTTCCTTTGATATATTTCAATCATTTAAAAAATAAAAATTGTTTACTGACATTGTGAAATGGGAAGAAAGGGGCTAAAGGTGTAGGGAAGGTGGGATGGATAGGGGAAGGGTAATAAGGGAAAAGAAAAAAATGTGAGATAAAGAAAGATGGAAATAAAGTGCTTGGAGATGGGGAGGGGAGGAGGGGGTTGAAGGGAGGGCAGGGACAAGGGGAAAAAATGAGAACCAAGGCCTGTCATGTAGAGGTACAAGATCCCAACAATGAATGTAACTGTACTGTATCCCTAAAATGTACCAATAAACTCAATTAAAGCTGAAAAAAATAAAAATAAAATAAAAATAGTATTTTTAGTGTGTGAGCTGTACAAAAACAGATGCAGACTGAATATGGCCCATGGGTCAGTTTGCCAACCTCAACTCTAAACTTTTGTCAGCTTCTGAGCTGAAAAACTATCTAGTCTCAGGGTGTAAAGAGACTGGTTGTTTAATCCATAATGGTATTTTTAAAATGCCAGCACAGTCCTCCAAATTTTTAAATAATCATATTTGATTCATTTAGTACACTGGTATCTCTTCATACCTTTGTTTAGCCATGGAGAGATTAGTTAAGAGTAAAATGTTTTTATTTTAAAAATTGATTAGCTACTGTTAACATTTTGGCCTGTATCCTTTCAATTCTGGTTTCTCCATCTCCGCATCTATTTTTCCCATTGAGAAGCATTTCAGTTATAGCCAGGGCTTTGTCAGGGAAAGGATTTGGCTTTAAATCCATATGCAACATTGGACATAACTTATTTGCTTTACCAGGCTGCAGAGACTATTTTGGTAAATGGTTCACCGCATGCCTGCTCACTTCTTTAAGAAGAGTTTATAGAAGTCCAACTTCCAGATTAAAGAATCTGACATGATTACTGGTAAGTTGAATATTTTCTCTGTGCTTTTGGGCCTTGCATTTTTTTTCTTTTGAAAACTGTTTCGTGTCTCTTTGTATAAAAGATATACCAATTTCCCCTTGTTCTTAAGAGTAAGATACCATACCGGAACCCACATGCATTGAGTGTCTGCAGGTGCAAGTGCACGGCAGGCTTGGAGAGACACAGGAATTTCAGACTGCTCTGGAGTCAGGCTGCGCAAGCCATGTCCTTAGGCTCCTTAAACTCTCAAGGCCTCAGTTTCCTTTTTTTTGTGTCTCACAGGGCTTCCTTGAGGCTGAAACAGAACCATGTGTATCAAGCCCTTAGCCCAGTGCTTGACTAGGAGTAAGTGCTCAAGAAGTGCGAGCTCTCTACATTATCATCATTTCAATTGTTCCATGGCTCAAGAGGCACAGAAAGATATGGTCATGTGAGCCTGTTAAAACAGACATCTGGGTTTCTAGGAAATGAAACTAGAGGCAGTTGTTTCCTTTGTAGCACAGTAGCCCCATAATTAACGCTTTATTAGACCTTAGTCATAAAATGAGTACAACATTCAGATCTAGAAGTCACAGTGGCTCCCTAGTGCCACTAATTGCAACTAATTTGTGTTACAAAATAGTTTCTGACAAAGGCCACCCATGTCTTTTTCTTGTTTAGTTTTGGCATACCTAAGCACTGACACTCGTATCACACCACGTGCAAAAGACCTGGACAAACGGGGTTATTAGAGTCTAACAGTGGCTCTGAAGGCAACTGGGAGGTATCGTAATGCTGCTTTCAGAGTCAGAGAAACAGAGCTTCTGAAGGCTCAGATGCTAGGCCCAAGGTCCTCCGATAGTGATTGGGAGAGGCAACCACTGGCAAAGACTCTCCATGACTACACTTCAGTCAGGCTCCTCTAAGCCTCGATGACTTGGCCTGTGGGTTTTGTGGCCATCTTTGCATTGCCCAATTGGAGCAAGAGTCCTGCTAAGTTATTTTATTGAGAATCCTGTGCATACCTTGTTTTGTGATTACCTTTGGTATCTGATCAAATTCCTCATTCCTCACCACCCCCAGAAGATGTCTGATCTATAGGATCCTTGCCTATCTCCAGTGAGAATCTGGTCTAGTCAAGTTAGCTAGAATTTCCTGTCCCTTGAAATTTCCTCTTAGTGATTCTCCATCCACTGACTGCTACCTTGGTCCTTGCTGTGCATGAAATTGAGCCCAGTTCTGTACCGAGGTCTCTTTTTCCTTGTTGCAGCAGTCCCTGTAGTACCACTTCAACTATGCCAGCTCTGGGTTTCTTTGACAGCATCAGAGCTTGGAGTGTTGTCCTATGTGCACGCCCCCCCCCCGTCCCATCAACACAGTCATTCCCATAACACCAGATGCTGGGAAAAGCACAGAGTAGCTTCCATGATTTGCATGGCTTTAAAACCAAAACTGTAGGATGAAGAAAGCAGACCCATAGAAGCTATGTCCCTAACTGAAATATCTGCCCCTGGTAACTTTTATAGGGAGTTGGAGAGAGCATCGATTGATCTAAAATTATGAAATATCCCCCTGATTAATCTGAGTGATGAAAGAGCACAAAACAGTTTCCCTCAGGAAATAAGCAAAATAAGGCTCTTAAACTGGTTTCAGTTCTTCCCAGAAAGATTACAGATAGCAATTCTAGGATTTGCTTACCATTTTCAGTCTTCTTCCAAAATGGAATACAGAAGTCTGGTGGAAGAGAGACGAGCATGAGAGGTACCAAGGTCAGCCCAAGATGAAGCCAGCAGCATCAACTAAGATAAAGAGAGACATCAGACTTGGCATTGAAAATACAGCAAAATACTGTAGTTTAAAAACATGATGGGAAAATTGCCTTAAAATGCACCATTGAAAATACCTATTACTAATATTTTATTCCCTCAAATTAGATTGAGAATGACAAGTACTGAAGAAATCATTTCTAATGTTATCAAAAGTTGATCTTATCCTTAAAGAATTGACATTTTAGACTACTACATTTTCCCTTGTAGTCTAAAAAAATTTCTTTGCCTATAATTTGAGCTCCTTCTCCTCCCCTTTCCAATCCTTTCTAACAGGGCATACATCTACTTACTTAAATGATCCAAATGTGTTCCAATGCTTAAAATACTTTTCTTGATTGCATGGAGGATTCTATATCTGAAGTTTTCTGAGATGCAGGGATGAGCAGCAGATAGTGTAGAATCACAGAGACTCCGTGCTGCTAACTCTGGGGTTTCAAGTGCAAAAACAAGGCTGGGAGTGGTGAGGGGAGCAAGGAGGAGCGTGACACTTTCTGCCACCCCAGGCATGAGGTTTTCAGAAACACCAGGTTCCTCTTATTTGTACCACCATAACTAGATGAGTATCGCATCTGAATTCGAGAAAGTTTGAACATAATTTCTTTTTTATGGCAGGGTTTTTAACCTTAGCAGTTTTGATACTTTGGACCAGATCATTCTTTGTTGGGTTGCAGAATGTTTGGCTACATTCCTGCCATGTGCCCTCCACATACCAATAGCACTGGCTCCTCTCAGTTGTGACAAGCAGAGATGTCACAGAACATTGCAAAATATCCCCAGAGGGGCATAATATCCCAAGTGAAGAATCACCGTTCTGTTGATGCCTCAGAAACAAATGTAATTTTACCTTTGTTGTCTTTGGCCCGGCAGGAAAGGCTACTGGTTTTCAAACCATGGCAAAGCACCAGTTCGTTCCCTCACTTTAGATTAAAAAAAAGCAAAAGGTCAACTGTACTTGCGGTCTAGTGTCCTATAAAGCCTTGCTTCTCAGACTGTGGTTCCTGGCAGAATTACTCCTTTCTTAACTGATTATCAGAGCGTTTTGTGGGTCCAGTCAAAATATTGTAGCCATGTGTGAAGTTCCTTAATCCACCTATTCTGTCTGGAATGGAATGTGGTAAATGCAGTTTGGCATGAGGAAATCAGATGATAATGACCAGGCTTAGTATGCTGAATTGAAAAGTCATTTGTTGGAGTACTACTGTGCCATAAAGAAGGATAGATTTCAGTCATTTGTAGGAAAATGAATGCACCTTGAGATCATAATGTTAAGTAAAATAAACACACAAGTGTAAAGGTTGCATGGCTTCTCTTATATGAGAAAGACAAAGTATACATAATTTAAAAAACAAAATAAAAGATAGATAATAGGAAACAAGGAGATAGATCTCTTGCAAAGTGAAAGTGGGCCAACAGATGGCAGGAAAGAGGAGGGAGAGAGGAAGAAGGGGAAGGAAAAGAATGCAGATGTGTCATGTACATGCACCAACCTCCACGATTAATGCAATCATTTTGCACTGTAAAAGTGTACTAATAAAAAAGAAAAGTCAAGCCAGGTGTGGTGGCACATTACCTGTAATCCCAGCACTTGGGAGACTAAGGCAGGAGGATTGATGAGAATTCAAGGCCAGCTTGGGCTGCATAGTGAAACCCTGTCTCAAACAAACAAATAAACAAACCACCACCACAACAAAAAAACAAAAGAAAAAAGAAAAAATCAGTGGTGCCTCAAATCAGCCAAACAACTACTGGTTACACTAATAATAGGAGACATTTACTGCGCTAGGTACTGTTATAACTGCTCCATATGTATCATCTCAATAAACACTAAAACTGAAGTAAATGTCTTACTACCCATTTTTTTTAACAAATACTGGAATTCATGCAAAAACAATATTGGATTTTCCCCATGTGGCACAGCAAGTGATACCCACACAGGCAGTAAAAATCAAACATCTCAGCCGGGCGTGGAGGCACATGACTGTAGTCCCAGCATTTAGGAGGCTGTGGTAGGAGAAGCAATACAAATTTGAGGCCAGCCTGGGCTACATAGTGATTTCACAGCCAGCCTGGACTACATGGTGAGATCCTGTCTCAAAACAAAAAACAAAAAACAAACATTTCCAATCAAAGCACTCTGCTATGCAAACAATATGTAAAAGTTAATAGCTTCCTCCCATGTAAACAATAACTGGTCCAGACTGGTAATGAAAGAGAGGAGAGAGCCCATTCAAGACAGTGAAATTTGGAGGGCTTGGAAAGAAAATTGCCTGGAAACATAAGTAGCTACGGCAGTTGGGAGAGATAGGGGCTCCCCCAGCAAGCTGCACCCTTTTCCTTTGTCCTCCTCAGCCTCCTTCCACTCTCCCAGCCCTGCCAAACTGTCCTGGATCCTTGTAGGCCTGGCTGTGTGAAGATCCCCTTGCTTGCTGCCATCTGGTTGGCCACTGGGAGGTCCAAGGTGGGAACTGGAGGGTAGAGTTCCTTTCCCTACATTCCTCCTCTGCCTGGCTGTGAATTGGGTGCAGCTCTTGTCTGATGATGTTCTGCTCCCTGAATAACAGTCACTGTTCCTCCCTTTGCTCTCTACTGATGTGCTGCATCATCCTTCTTAATTCCCTTAAATCTGGTGCAAGTACAGACTCACTTTGCTGAGCTCATCAATTTCCCATGTGAACATGACATTTGTTTCCTGACCAGGCCCTGGAGAATGCAAAGACGTAAATAAATGAACAGAAATAGATTGTTACTGGGAATAGAGACTGCAACATTGTCAAAAATGGAAATTCTGCTGAAATTGATTTTTAGATGGTATGCAATCTCAAATAACAATAGGATTGTGTGAGAAACTTGGAAAAGTGATTTGGGGAATCAGTTGGGCCCTTTTGTTCATCACAAAGTCTGGGGCAACATTATCCATGAATGCACTCTTTCGTATAATAAGGAAACATTGCCCAGTCTTAGGCATTGGGTATGACTTGGCTAAGACCACATTTGAGAAGAACCGAGTAGTTTCTGAGTGAAAGAGCACCAAGGGGAGGAAGTATCTTCTGGATCTCATATTATGATCTTTCCCTGCCTGAGATTCCATAGCACCAGCTCATCAATGAATGAGAATTAGAATTAAGTAAAAGTATATATGGGGTACTAGTTGAGGTCATGTCAGTGCCAAAAAAGATCACTGAAATAATGTTGGGCAACTGGCTTGAAGTTTAGAAAACCTAAAGCTACTGTCCTACCTCACTTCTCATATCAAAATAAATTTTGTATGGTTCAAAAATATATAGACCCTGCCTCAAAATGAATAAAAAAGGGGCTGAGAGCCATAGCTCAGTGACAGCATTCTTGCCTAGCATACATGAGACCCTGGGTCCAATCCCTAATTCTGCAAATAAACAAATAAATAAATAGCAGTGAACACTGAATGTGCTGGAAGAAACCATAGGTAGATGTTTTTATAATCTTGAAGCATAGAAGATGTTGTAAGCATGACAACAATACAAACAAAACAACCAATAGCAACAACCCCAGTGTCTTAAAGAAAACATTGAAATAGTTGACTACATAAAAATAAATCTTCTTAGTGGTTCCACTGCCTGCCTCGCAAGCGCAACGACCCGAGTTTGATCCCCAGTACCCAAAAACAAACAAACAAACAAAAATCTTACTTATCATGGATGAGTTACCAATAAAGATACATTGAGAAATTATATACTAAATTCCCCAAAGATTATAAAATCACACATTTAACAAATAGCATATCGATTATACTTTTTGGTGTTGCCCTTTACCCTTGATTCATACCTCCTATTTCCCCAAAGATGTTATAGCCCCATTTAGATAAGAAGGTGTTGGTTGCAAATTCAAGGCATCCTGGTCTACATAGTGAGGTTGAGGACACTCTGAACTACATAGTGAAACCTGACTCAAACAACCAACCAACCAAAACAAAACAAAGGAGAAAGATATTTGTTTATTGTTATCATATTACCTATAAGAAATAACAAAGGGCTGGGAGTGATAGTGCATGCTTATAATTCTAGCTCCTTGGGAGGCTGAAGAGGGAGGATCACAAATTCAAACCCAGAACAGGCAACTTAATGACTCAGCAAGACCCTGACTCAAAATTAAAAAATTAGGAAGATGGTGGAGTGATAAACAGCAGAGAAATATCCTCTCCAAGATTTGGTGTCCAGACACTGGAATATAGCAACATGAGAAAGATAAGAAAGAGGAAAGTGGGTCCTTGGATGACTCACTGAATGATCTGAAGTGAGAATTGAAGTCCATGAGGAGAGTGAAGAGAGATAATTCAATGAAGAAGGAGACAGCAAGTGGTGCTTTCTGCCCAAGCCCTGACTCACTGCATGGGAAGGGCGACTCGAACCTGCAGATGCACTGTGACTACTGGTAATTGCAGAAGCCTCTGTGGATAAATGCATCAGTGGAATGGAGCAGTGGATTTAGCAAACTGCAGTGACTGGTTAGTTATTTTGGTTCAGATGTCTCCCAGGAGAGGGTGATTGGACAGTAGCCATCTTGGAGAGGGCCAGCTGAGTTTGGAACTCAGAGCAGCTACAGGCTGGCTTTATCATGGTGAGGTGGAACCGAGTTCAATTCAGCAGGATATCAGAAGCCAAGTTCAAGTCAGCAGGAGGCACATGGGATACTGTAGGCTGAACAAAACATGTTCCAGCCTCACAGCCACAAACCAGCCTGAGCTTCAGAACTAAAGGCAGGCTTGCAGGGATTATCCACTACCACACTTTCTGGGATTAATCAACACAACATCTGGACTCTGGTTGCCCATGTTGTCTACTAGGGATGGCAGAGAAATGCCTTGAAGTGGACTTTGTTTTCTTTTTCTCTTATTTTCCTCTTTTTGTTTTGTTTTGTTTTTTCTTGATTTTTGTTCTTGTTTTTATATAAGTGTGAACATTGTTTCTAGTTTTTTATTGTTGTTCTTCTGTTCTTGTATTTATTTCTTCCTTCTAACTTTCCCTCTTGTCTTCTTTACCAGTTCCCAGAATTTTTATACTCTTCCTTTGTTCTCCAGCCTTGCTTCTAATATCTTCATCTTCGCTCTATTCCCCGCCTCTAACTTCTTTTCAATTTTCTCCCCTGAGGGTAAAATTGCCATACTGAGGGCATATTTACTGTATACAACTTTCTGGTTTCTTTTAGACTTTGTTATATAACAAGAAATCTAGTTTATATGGTTAAAGGTAGCAAATTAATAGTACAACAGTTTGTCATTTTCTAGGCTATATTTGATGCTATTGTTATTGCTGATTGTACTACTTTAGCCAAAGTGACATAGTTGTCTGATTGGTTGTTCTTCCTGGTGTACCAAGAATGATATTGCCTAAGGATCATAAACAATAGTATAGATCAATGCCGAAGTCCCTGGTGCTAGGCCAAATAG